CGGAAGGCTGAGGTGCAAGGATCGCCGGAGCCCAGCAGGTCGAGGGTGCGGTGGCCAGGAGTGGCCACTGCACTCCAGTCTGGGCGACAGAGTGAGACTCTAACTCAAAAAAAAAAAAAATAGAGGCCATGAGATAAAAACACATGCCATCAGAACCTGCCTGGGACCATGAAGTGCAGGTTTCATTCCCAAATGCCCCAGTGTTTGGGGTGACTGGCATATGCTAAGAATAAAGCAAAACATCCTGAAAATTCAGGAGGATTGGTTACCTCTGCAGGTCAATCTGTCTCTCTGCTGGGACTGCCTTTTTGGCTCCGTCTTGCAGTTTGGGTGCTTTGGCATTTCCTGCTTCCAAGCCCCCAGGACTCTCCTGGCTGCCTGCGGCTCGCTTCCTCCCCTTGCTATTAGGCTTATTTACATCATCGTTTTTGGTTGGGTTGCCCTGAGATTCCGACTTGGGTCGGCGTCCTCTTCGGGGTTTGGAAGGGGCAGGTGGTCCTGATTCATCCACTTTCTCGTCTGTCTTTTGTTGGATATTCTCCGCCCCAGCTGCAGTTACTGTTCTTTTCTTTCCTCGGTCACTGCTGATGTTGCCCTGGGTAGCCTGATCAGAATTAATTTCCTGAAACAGCACAAAACAATTCTATGAACACATATTTCTAAGATCTGTACTGGAAAACAAGTGTTTCACAAGTATTTCACTTGAGGGTTTACTTTAGTGTCAAGCCTCACTCTCAGAGAACAGATAATATATGAAGGGACAAGAGTAAAGTTACAGGCAACTGAACTGTGCACACAAGAGGAGAGAGATATGAGGGCATCTTTGGGAAAGATGGTGAGTCCTGGGCAAAGATTGGGGAACAAGACCCATACAGTTTTGTCCTTATGTGGGCTATTATGGTAGGGGCTAATTTTTAAAAAAGTAAATAAAGGCCAGACTCATGACTCATGCTTGTAATCCCAGTACTTTGGGAGGCTGAGGCTGGGTGACTGCTTGAGCCCAGAAGTTTGAGACCAGCTCAGGAAACATACCAAGACCTTTGCTCTACAAAAAATTTTAAAAATTAGCTGGGTGTGGTGGTACAGGCAAGAGGATTATCTGAGCCCAGGAGTTCAAGGTTGCAGTGAGCTGTAATAGTGCCACTGCTCTCCAGCCTGGGTGACAGAGTGAGACTGCGACTCAAAAAAACCAAAACCAAACCAAAAGAGTAAATAAATATTTAAGTACAAATTACCTGAGTGCTAAGAGGTTAAAGTATACACTCTTCTGAAATAAAATCAGAGGAAGCATCAATTTCTAACTGGTCCCTGTTTGGGAATATCATTTAGACAATATGAAGCAGAACGCTGTAATATAAAACGTGGAGTATTCTAGAAAGAGGAAAGAGACAGCATAAAGAACCTCAAGAGGGAAAGAGCTTGGTAGATTTGAGGAAGCTGCACAGGAAGGAGTGATGGGAGAATGGCACAAGACAAGGAAGGAGAAGCAGGCCAGGGCAGATCACGAGAGCCTCACGGGACATGCACAGAGACTAGGGTTTTCTTCCATTGCTAAAGAAAGTAATTTCAACCCGAGGATGAACATAATCAACATTTTTAAAAGACCAGACTGCAGGCCTGATGTGGTAGCTCAAGCCTGTAATCCCAGCACTTTGGGAAGCGGAGTTGAGAGGACTGCCTGAGCTCAGGGGTTCGATACCAATTGAGCAACATGGCGAGAACTCGTCTCTACAATAAGTTTTAAAAACTTAGTTGGGCGTGGTGGCATATGCCTGTGGTTCCAGCTACTTGGAAGACTGAAAGTGGAAGGATCATCTGAGCCCAGCAGGTCAAGGCTGCGGTGGCCGTGCGCGAGCGACTGCACTTCAGCCTGGGTGACAGAGCGAGACTTTGACTCAAAATAAATAAATAAATAAAAGCCCAGACTGCTTGCTCAAAATGGCTGCTGGAATGCAAGGGGCAAGAAAGTTAACAAGGTAGAACTATGATAGATGCAGAATTTGAGATAGACAAGACAGAGGTAATCTTAAAATGGGCAAAACAGAAACAGGCAATTTGCAAAGGAACACATTCAAATACATAAGAAACATACTGGCAGTCAGCAAAATGCAAAATAAAATTATAGTGGGCATAAGTTTTGATACTGAAGACTAAAATACATTTAAAAAATCCATAAACTGACTGGGCCTATATGGTTTGCGCCTATAATCCCAGCACTTTGGGAGACCCAGGTGAGAGGATTCCTGAGCCCATGGGTTTGAGACCAAACTAGGCAACTTGGCGAGAACACATCTCTACAATAAATCAAAAAACTATCCAGGTGTGGAAGCATGTGCCTATAGTTCCAGCCACTTGGAAGACTGAAGCAGAGCAATCACCTGAGCCGAGCGCAGTGGCTGTGAGCATGCCACTGCACTCCAGCTGGGGCGACA